GCAAAAAAAAAAAAAAAAAAAGCCAAAGTCACTTTCCCTTTCACTTGCAGTGATACCCATCTGTGAAAGCTGCTTGACTGGCATAATGTAGACTTTAGCTGTTGGTCCTGCAGAGGTTAAAAGCTTACTTTATGTTACCATGGTTGTGGAAGAGTTGCCCTTGAAGAGCTCCTTGACATCAACTAGATATCATCTGAGTTGCACTTCCATGGATTTTAAATGTGGTTGTCAGTCCTTGGATGGTTAGTTCTCAATTACAGCACCAGTTTGGGCATGCAATATCTTCTGTTTCTAGTGTTAGGTACTAAGGCCTACTAAGGTCTGAGGTTCTTAAGATAACTAGATAACAATTCCAGATAAAATAATTGTTGAACCCACTTTTCAGTTGGGAGAAAATGAAATAGTTTGTGTAAGCTCCTTCAGACTTAGAGAGAAGGTAGTATATGTGGATATTTTCTTACATAATGAAATCTCCATATATATTTGTTTACATTATTATAAAATAATGATTCTCAGAGAACTTCAAGATGCTGCTAAGAAAATTTATACACTGAAGGTGCAGGTTTTTAAGGATCACAGTCTAGGTTTATTAGTCAGGAACATAATCTGATGTATCTGTTCTATTCATGCTCCCAGCAAGATGCTGTACCAAATATATATTTATATATCAGGGCTAAGAAATGCTTTTCTTCGAAAACATGGATGACTGTAGACAGCTCAGAGTGCAGGAAATATCTTTTGAGTTACAATCCAGTGCCCTGCCACAGGAGAAGAGAATTAATTTGTTTTGTTTCCAAGGAAATTTTTTGTTTCATTTTCAAACTTCTATTTGCTGTTCCTCTTGTCAGTTGAGCAGCTTTCAGAAGTTAAGATGAAAGATGTATTGCTCATGAGTTTTCAATATTAGGAAGTAATATGTCTGATTTGCTTGAAAATACTGAACATCAACCTTTCTGAAAATCAATGTGGGTTTTATGGCAAAGGTTAGTGAAATCAGAACTGGACTCATTTTGAGTACTTTTTAAATCCCTCTTTTTGTCTTTGTGGATAGTTCAGTAGAGTTCTAATGACTTTCCACACTGGTGTGGCAGAATTTCCCTGGCTTTGTTCATACTCTGTAGGAATCCCAAGCACTCCCATTTATTTTAGAGATGATGTGGACCTGTCTAAGATCTTTGCCTGATAAGCTATAAATTCCCTTTATTTAATAATACCTCTGGGGAAGCTAATAATTTACATTTCCTATATGTCAGAACAAAAATAGATGACAGTCTTTTTCTCCCCATATGTTTTGGGAATGGGTAATTCAATGTTTTTTTCCAAATGATGAGAGCTCTGGTGTTCATTCTGCTCCTGTTACTGTTACATGTAAAGGGTTTTCCTTTCTTCTGCTGGGTCATTCAGTCACATCCTTCAAAACAAGAAGAACTTGCTAACTAGTTAGCCACTGCCTATCTTTTTCTCAAAAAAAAAAATAGAAATCATAATTTTTTTGGTTTAGCACTTTTTTTTACTATTTGATTATAAAAGATACTCTTTGGGACAGGTGGAATTTTTCAGCTTTGGTGTTAAGCTGTGGAAACGTGGGCTGTTGCAGTTTGAACAGAAGTTTTAGCAACAGAGCTAGTTTTCCAATTGTCTGGGGAGCCTAAAATGGTGGCTGATGACAAAGGCTACTCATAAATTGAATTATTTTGACTAGAACTACGTAAACAAAATAGTCAAATGGGGTTCAAGTGTGCAAAACAAATTGCTGTTTACATCCAAGTGTTTCACGGTTCTCCAGTGCTGTAACAAGGGGCAATGTCCACTGCTGTGGCATAACAGGAAAAAGGTACAAAGTCTGGGGTTTATGGCCTGGAATATGGAGACTGAAATCTTTGCAATATATTGTAAATACTACTGTACAGAAATCTATAAGAAATACAGATTTTTCTATATGTATATTACTTTTCTAAGGGGTATAAGTCTACACGTTTCATGAAATCGGCCAAGCGTTCTGTCAGTGGGGATTAAGCAGAAACTTCCTTCTGGAGCAGGTTGTCCTGCCAGTGCCTCCTGTGCAGCTTCTTGCATCTGCTTTTGAGTCCTTAGACGTGGAATACTGGCTGGATCTGATACGGATGTTTCACCATTGTTATGCTTATATTCCTGTGAAAAAAACCGCGTGCTATTGAATGCATACAAATAAAACTACCACTCTGAGAGGTAATGCTTGTTTATTTAAAGTATACTTGTATATTGCTGTCTCCATTAAAGTGCTATTATCTTAAAGCTGGAATCCCATTAGGGAATTAATTTCTCTGTGAGTGAGGATGATACTTGACTGTGAACATCTGAAAATGCAGTTTATCCCTGAGCCATGCCCAGACCCCTGGCTGAGAGCTTAGGGATGAAATCTTGCAAAGAGGTGGAACAATAAATAGTAGCTCTCAGTATCAGTAAATCTGAATTATATGAGGCTAAGGCTGTTCTACAACATTCTAATATTTTTTATTTCAGAATATGGCTGAAAAAACAGAGTTTATTTCTGAAGGGTACTATTTTTTTTCCAAATTTAATATTGTATTTGGTCTTGCTCATGTTAAAAGCTATGATGTGCTGCAGGCAATACCCCCCATGCATGTCAGCCAGTGTCCAAAGTGTGAGGGAATTTGAATTTCTGCTTGGAAAATGTGTTATCTCCAGAATCTCATAAACAAACCGTTGTTTGACTATTCTTTCCATAGAAAGAATTCAGTATATTATGCTAAATCTCTGTTCATTTATTTTGTGAAGAAAGCAGCACAAATAATGGTTGCATACAGTGAGCTTTTACCAGAAACCAGTGCACTCCAGTTTCACAGTAATCATTTTGGTATGGCCTAATCTGCTCAGACTCAAGTTCTTCATCAGCCAGCATTTGAAGGCCACTTGAGGTAGAGTTAAAGGATGCTTGGGATCTTCCACAAAAACCCAAGAGCAACTTTATTATCAGTGACATGTAACCTGCCCTTCACAAATCCGGGGTGACCTCTGTCAGTGCAAGGTATAAAGCAAGTCTGGAACAGGTGAAATACATGCATCCCCCTTTCTACAGAGGTTAATCCCCCATAGCAAGCCTTTGCTCATCTTGCTGCCTTAGAGAGGACAGAGCCATCATAGTCTGAGAATGACCTTGGGCTACAGCCCAGCTTAGCGTTTAGGAACATCGCTCTTAAGTAATTTTTCAGGTAACACCTTTATCCCATATTTTATGAATCCAGTGGATTTCTTCCAGAAGGAAGGTTTGGCAAGCTCCTGTTCTCAAGACTGTCTGGTGCAAGCAACCTTTAAAGGTCCACAGTTTATCCATCCACTGCTTCGCTTCTGATTTATCTCTGAATAGTAAATAGGCATTGGAAAGAAACCAGAGAAAAGGTCTTTGCATGTGTATTGTAGATGTTGAGGCATTCTGAACACACAACTGCAAAAGGACTTAGTATCTCCAAGAGCTTTAGCCAGGGAACAGCCTATGTCAGCAGGCAAAAACACACATGCAGGTCTTGGCTTCACTCTGCAAAGAGATGACTTCAGATTTTGGGGATGTTTTGTGATTGGACTGTATTTATCCTGGTTTTATCCCATGGTGCTGAAGGGGACTACGTCAATTCACTTGAGTATAATGTTGTAGAGAGAGGTAGTAGTTAGCCCATCCTTGGAAATAAAATGGGTTTAGAAAGGACTACTCAGCTCATTTACAGGCAATGATGTAACAGCAGTCTGTCAAAGTCTCCATGACAAAAGGTGTTGAGAATTTTGGTCAATTATACTTGCCAATAAAATTAGTGATATAGCAGAAAAACAAACAGTATCTTAGAAAAAAGCCCCTCCAGATCCAAGTCAGCTACATATATCCATCTCCAGGAATCAATGTAGTTACTGAAAGAACAGGAAATCCTGTAAAATTAGCTTGCACATTTGTACTGGACTTGAGTTGCCTCAGCAGTTATGATTAAAAATATCTAAGAGGTGTGATTGTCTGGGTTTCAAAATTTGCCTCAATCATCAAGAGCTCAACAGGAGTACAATTTTTATGTTTTTTTTCATAGGCTGTAGCAGGAACCGGAGGGTAGCAATCATCAACACAAAACCACATGATTATTGGCCGGTTATTGATCAGCATTAGAGCACTGAAGCAGCAAGCACCAGGATGTAGAGTCACACACAGAGAGGCAGGCACAGCTGGGCATGCAAAGAGGAGTGCTGCTCCTATTCCTTCCTTTTAGCCCAACCTCTTCTTGCATCACTGTTTTTCTCTTTGGTGACCAGGAAGTCTTAACCACTTCCGCAGTTATTCATCGGCCTGAGTTGCTCATCTCACACCCTCTCTGACAGTCCCTTTCCATGTTTACATTTCCAATGAACTCACTCATGTGCCAGTCATTACACATGGCACTCTTCTAATTATCCTCTTTCTTGTAATCTTTTTTTTTTTTTCTTTTTTCTGAATAATGCTTTCAGTTAGGTTTTACACCCTTCTTCTCAATCTTTCTGTTTCTGCCCTAAGGAAACTAAGAACTAATGATGCAGAAATTTGTTGTGTAGTTAAGCAGGAGCTTACAAGATCAGAGACCAACTCTCTAGTCTTTTTTCATCCATATAGCTCTTCCTGCATAGTTTAGCATGTATTTTTTCATTGTTTTTTTCTTTGATACCTGTTTGTAACATAATCTTTGGCTTGGTTTATGTCTTCTAGAGGGTAAGTTTTTCAGAACTGTGGTGACACTTCATCCACAAAGAGCCCTGAGCACAGCTACTACAAAACCAAACCCCAGCTCCCACATCTTTTCATAGTGTAGCATAGTTTAAACCTTCTAGGAAGTTTGGTGGGGCCAAATAAGAACATTAGGACAGTGAAAGCCAGTTGGGTAAGCTTTGCAGTAGCAGGACTGGAAAAGAAAGACTGAAGCAGTTCTGTGTGGAGCCCAAGACAAGAAGGTATCTCTTGAGCTTGTTGGAAGGATGCAGTTCGCCACTCATTTCTTGGGAACACATCTTCACTCAACATTTATTTCCTGCTGGAAAGTAAATCTAAGAACTTTTATCATGTGCAAGTCAACCAACATCAAACAGAGATGTAGTCTATTGAGTTCACCTGCAAACACAAGCTGAGGTGACTCTCCAGGCATCTGCTGGGTTAAAGAGCATCTGCAGAGCTGCCTTCACTTGCTCTGACTACAGTGAGAATAGGATTCCACTGTAAAGAAGGAATAAATTCCTTGATGTCAATTACTATAAAGAGGCTGAAAATTGTGTAACTTCTGAGAACAGGCCTTCAATTTAACCTTCCAATACAGACTGATTGTCCGGAAGCTCAAATTTTCCTAAATTTTCAATCTTTTAGATTGTATAAATTTATTATTACCCTACAGTTGGTAGAAAGACCATCTTATTCCTGCAGAGTTTGAGACATTCATAGATCATCTTATATTGGTCTAAAACAATTGCAGAAACAAAGTAATAGGATGGTTAGAGGTAAGAGGACTTCTCTTCCCACTGATCACAGAATCATAGAATATGCTGAGTTGGAAGGGACCCACAGGGATCATCAAATCCAACTCCTGGTCCTGCACAGGACAATCCCAAGAATCACACCATGTTCCTGAGAGTCTTATCGTGCACTGTCCAAGAGGATGATTTTCTTCCATGGCCACTTCGTCTAAAATCCCTGTTTACCTATGCTTGATCTCAAACTGCCACAAATAAATTCCCCTGATCTTCAAATATTTTCAACAGAAATCAGTGTGGTTTGTGTTATGGTAGCATCTTGCTTTACCTGAGGACTGAGACCAATATTAGCAACAGTCTTCATGTGTAAAATGTTTGTACAAAAGAAAGTGTACATAAAAAATCTTAAGTCTGCTAATTACATCACACTACAAAGGATAATCTGTAAGATTTTTTACAGTAAAAATGAATATGATACAAAAAAAAATCATGCCCTGCAAAATGCAGGGAAACAAGGAAAACTGATTTGGAGGAATGTCTAACTCCCAAAATTACATAATTTTCATCTTTCTTCAGAGTACTCTAAGAAGGGCATTTACAGCCTCTCTAATGGTTCAGCAGAGCTGGCAAGATCTAGGAAGGTTGCAGTAGACTGCAAAAGAGATGTTTCAGTACAGAGTAGAAGTCGGATTCTGCCTGCAGTTGGGAGCCACAGGAAACTTGTTTTAATTAGAAGTATGGATTTAAATCTATTTGTATTACTTTAGCTGTAAAACAAAATTGATTCAAAAGTGTGCAAATATCCATGTGCTCACTTGTCCTTCACCAGTCCTCCCGCTGCTTAGTTCAAGTCAGCTTGGCACAGGGCTCAGATGAACAGAAACAAGATTCTGGAAAATGATGGACTGAGAAGATTTGAAGCTCTGAAACACTCATTTAGTGGAGATCTGGCTATCAAATGCTGCATAGCTAGTTACCTTCAAACTGCAAACCCAGCCTCCAAGGATGCTGAGGTGCCCAAGAGCAGAGCCTGGCCACTGCCAGCTCCACTTTAGTGCTGCAGCACACTGGGCATCTTCTTGAGGTTTTGTCCACCTGGCAGGAGCTGAGGGAGGAGTGGGGACTGCTGGGAAGGAGGCCTGCTAGGAGGAAAGGTGGCTGACCTGGACTCTTTATGTGCTCACCAGGGATCATCCTCTCAACTGTAGCTGTTCCAGCTCCAGGGCCCTTGCCTACTGTGTAAATAGAATATGTACTGGTAAGTTAAAGGAAGAGAACAGGGTTTCTTTTCATCTAAATGAATGCACTATGACTTAAAAAAATTCTATATTTGCCTCTCTAAATAGATCACAAATACATATTTCCAGTTTAAGCCCAGCTTAAAATTATTTTGGTTATTCTTAAGTTAAAACAAACACCGACCAAGGACTCTTGTATTTATTCTCTGTTGATTTTACTCAACATTCTTCTACATCAATATATTTTCAAGGTATATATAGGTACATTTCTTTGGAAATAAAAACTTTTGATAGTTCCATAATCACAGTTATGATCCAGATCAAAACCATCCAAACATTTAGGACTGTTCAGGTACTGAATGTGAACGAGAAACAGAAGGACACCATTTTTACACTTTAGATTTTGCTAGAAGCCTGGTTTTCATCCAGATTCACATTTCAGTGAAGGAGGCAGGAGTGACACAAAGAACACATGGTATGTAGTGTGTCTGGTCATGGGCAAGTGCTGTGCTTTTCTTGTAGGTGTATACTTGTAGCATGATAATGTCCTGGGATGGCCTGCAGAACATAAGCATTGCCCAGTACAAATATTTCCAACATCAAGAACCCTCTGATGTCTATTTCCTGCAGCCTTCCCAGTCTTCCCTAGTGCTTCTATTCATTGTGACAAACCTCAAAGGTATAGCTGGAGGCACAATGATGTTTTCTGTGCAGTCAGGATCACACCTTTGACACTATGATCAAGGATGAAATATAAAGCAAAGATAAATTCCATCCACGTAGGAAGTAAACATGAGTGGTTCTGAGGGAAGTCAAATGGGATGGTGCAATGGAAACACAAAACAGTCAATCATAAACATAGCAACAAATCCATCAGAAGTATGAGAAAAGCCAGTGTAGTTTAAAAAGGAGATGAAAATGAAATTGCTTCAAGGAGAATTCTAAAAACATGAGGAGTAAGGTGCACTACAAAGCTCCCAGACTGTAGAAAGAAAATGTAGCTGTAATGATAGCATTTTCCATTGTGTGGAGGAGGCAAGAAAAATTCATCAGGAATGAAGTGAAACATATGTCAACTGTTTGCCTTCCTTATTAATAATTGTGTTGGATCCACTGCAGTTTGAGTCTGGTGAGCTTCTAAGGCAAAAATAAGCTGATGTGAGAATCATTTTAATGAAGTCATAGATTTTGGCTATGTAAAATGTTCTGCTTTTCAGGCCTAAGTTTCTCACTCTATTTAATTGAGTAATAATCAATTATTGGTAGTAGTTACAGCTAGAAAGTGCCACGTGGTACTACAGCCAAGAAGAGGGGGTGCTAAGGTCATAGCTTGAGCTGTTTGAAATGGTGTAATGTTTCCAAAGAACTCGCAAACTTTCCAAATCATAATTCTCTTTATCAGAAGTATCTCTGAGCCAGTTTTGCAAACAGATGCTGGTACTAAGGGTTCAGCCACATGACTCAGCTCTGGCAGCCGAACCTGCCAGCACTTGTCCTGTGAGCTGCCGTGACTGTCCAGGTGTGTGCTCCTGGCCCGCTCCAAAGGAGAGGTGATGCAGCCTGTAGGCATTTTACAGCTGAGGCTCTTGCTCTGTTCTAAGGGCAGGCTAACAAAGGGTGCCCAGCAGCACATATCACCTACCTGCCTACCCCAGCAGGCCTATCTGCAGCCAGTGAGTCATCCTGGAATGAATCACTTGTGCAGCTACCTATAGCTCACTGCTGGCTGCTGGGGGGGCAATGGTGACTGATTTAGGCTAGACTGCTAACCTTTGTCCAGTTAAACTTAGACCAGAGCAATCCCACCCTCATCTGGTGTTCATAAGCTGTACCATTGTGAAAGTGTTTGTCTGAATCATAAAGTCTACTGAGATTGTTTGAGAGGGCTTTTTTTTCTGTCACTTTTCTTTTGTCCTTTATTGAGGTAAAACATTTTGGTCACTGTTTTGGTCTACTGTTTCTGAAAATCCATACCCAGGTGTGGCTGGAAGAAGCTTCAGCTTGGTAAACCCCAAATTTGTCAAAACTAAGAGGCCCTGGAAGAAATTCTGCAGAGCCAACGTGGTCATTGGCAGAAGGTCCCAATAGGGCAAAGAATGTTGGGTGCCTCCAGGGTGGGCTCACTGTGACACCACAGTGGTACCCTAACATCGAGAGGAAGTGTAAAAGATGTCCTTACTTTTCTAGGAATAGGCAAGTTAGTTAAGGATAAACTTAACGTCTGGCATATTAATTAACTTCAGTGGAGTCTGACTCTCTACAAGTTCTTCGTTGTCTGCTCCCTTAAATCTCATTTTTGAAGGCTATTTCAATCTCACAACCAGCAGGTTAAAGTGGTGCATGGAGACATGATGAGATTTGGATTATCCTTTTGATAGAGATCAACACAGAAGGCAAATCTGAAAAATCAAGCGGTGTGCTCCTATTCCAGAAAAGAGCTGTGTCTCTATCCAAAAAATGAATCAGTTGCTGGAAAGGCAGGGAAAACAAAGGCAAGGATTGATACAACAGTCTTTGTTTTATTTTCAGAATGAAAGTGGAAAGAGCAGTTTGTCAAAACAATAGCAAAGGTGTTTAAAATCAGTGGAGGAAGGAGATGTGAGTCATCAGTGTATATAAATCTAGATATCTAAATGGTAAGGCTGGTCAAAAAATTTCCAACAAAAATATTTTCATAATGGAACTTGATTTTAATGGAGCTCATGTTTTTCACAGAAGTATTGAATGAATATCCTCCCCCCCCTCCAACTGTTCCAAAAATTTAAAATTTTAGGCACCAAAAAAGTTAGAAATCTCTGAAAAATATATTTCTGCCATGAAAAACAGTCTAGGTCAAAGGAAAACATCACATACATAGTAGAGGATGCAGTATGCTCAGAGCAGCTGGTGTGCTCAGAGCATCTAGTGTATTCAGAAATAGGCTCATTCGGGGTGCTGGGTTCCTTTTGTTCCTGAGGAGGATCATGGAAAAGTTCAGCACATTTAATTAGTAATTGTTCAGCTAAACAATATTTTTGTTGTTGTTGTTACAGGTGAAGGCCAAAACTTCTGACAAGAGTTTTAGAAATCTCTCATTATACCATTAATGCAAAACTCTCTGCTAACTACTGGGTCTAGGCACTGTACCCCCTTCATCTTAAAATTTCAATATATACATATATTTTGTCAAGTCTATTAATATTAAAGTTTAATATTCATTAGTATTCCAGTCAGACAAATATGTTCCAGGCCATTAGAGTGCAATGTAAAGAGTCATTACTTTTTCCAGATGAAGTGCAATGCACTGGAAAGGAAGTTTTTATTTGAACTCTAAACTTGGATGATATCTTAATATGTGAATGTACAACTACTGAAACTGTTAATGTGTAACTAACTGAAAGATTCTTTGGAACAATACCTTGAGTCTCTGCAGTTTTCTCAGTCATGTTACTGTCAGCAACATGTGATTTGCATGTGCTGTGATAAAAAACTTTGCATATAACAAATATAGTTGCATCAGAGAGGAAATGAAAGGCAATTTCCCGTCTAGCTATCTTTTTCTTTTTTCTATGTACCCTATGTACCCTCTCTAAATGTTGCTTTATCCCTACTGTTATGAAAAGCAAGTCGGTTGTGAAACACACTTAAATCATCCAGGAAGTCTTCTAACACCCATTTCATATTATTTCACAATGATGTTTTTATTTCCGTGTGGAAAAGTGAAGCAAAAAGAAATGGAAATTCCATAAAATTGAGAAAACACATGCCAATACTAAAGGGATTTTTTCTTTTATCTTTGAAGGAGAAGAAGGAAGGAAGGAAGGAAGGAAGGAAGGAAGGAAGGAAGGAAGGAAGGAAGGAAGGAAGGAAGGAAGGAAGGAAGGAAGGAAGGAAGGAAGGAAGGAATATCAGGCTGAAATAAAACTGTCTAGGAGATAGAAATCAAAAAAATACTTTAAAACAAAGCCTTGTTGGTATGACTTGACAATGACTTGTTGGTATTTCGGCTGTCCTTCCTAAGAAATTACACTCTTATTACAATCTTGTTTACATGCTTTTCATAATCTGTTTAGAAGTAATTATTTTTCACTTTGCACCTAAATTTGTCCCCAGCAGTCTTCCCCCTCATATCTGGCCCTTTGATTTTTCATTCTGCTTATGAAAATAAGGCTGCTTGCAAGGTTACAGGACACTTCCCAGGGCATTCACTAGGTGTACCTGAAAGTCCTGCCCTGTGTTTGCCTGAGGTATTGGCTGCTCCTCCCATAAAGGGGCAGAGATTGCATTTGTTTGCAGATGAAATCTATATTATTGATTTCTAGCCATCAAGGTTCAGGCAGCTGCTATTTTCTGAAACCCTAAGGCAAACAATGAATTGCAGCCCCAGAGAGATACCAGACGATGTTTCTTGCTTCTGCCATTTCCTTGCACTAGCTTTTGTGTCTTTTGATTCTGATTTGGAGACATGTCTAAGTCATATTTCATTATGAAAATGTTTTGTATCCAGAGATTTTTCTTGCTCTTCTAAATGCACTAGTCCTCCAGACCCTAGCAGCCTATCAAAAGTGATCAAAGCGGGAGCTGAGAGGAGACAGTTTAAAAGGGAATTGCTGATCAAAGGAATGCAAAAAAACATTTTGACCAGAGATACGTGATATTATGTCCTGGTAGAATTGGTATAAAGGGAATAATGGTCTGTTTCATTATTAAAATACAGGTTTGCAATAATAATAGATTCTTAAAAAAGACTATAATATCTCTTATTATTATCTAATAAAAATTAAGCAGTGCCTTTTTGATATCTTTTCAGGTCCATTCATCAGCTCTTCAGACCTAAGGGCTCTTTTCTTTTTAATATACATTTAACTCTTTTGCTGAAGTCCCTTGATCTGGTTAGTTTTGAAGATGCCATACAGGACTAAATTGATTGGTGTTTGTATTTTATTGGCTTGTTAAAACTAAGCATGTTCTGAGGAAGAAAACTTGACAAACTGGCAAAGATTAAAAGCTGTGAAGGGCAAAACATGTAACTGGGACAACTTTCAGAATTTGTGTGAATCCATCAGGAAGCCACCTACTTTGCA